TCATGTGTGTTTGCTACATAAATCATTGTATGGTCTTAAGCAACCCCTTCCTTAGGCAGTGGTATAAAAGATTTGATTCCTTTATTGTTGGTATTGGGTTTACTAGAAGTAAGTATGATAATTGTTTCTATTTTGTATTTACTGATAACATGCCTATATATTTGCATTTATATGTCGATGACATGTTATTAATAAGTAAGTCTAAGTCTAAAATAGACAATTTAAAGGCAAAACTGAATGTTGAAGTTGATAGAAAGACTTAGGATGTGCAAAGAAAATCTTAGGAATGGTGATAGAAAGAAACAGGAAGCTTAATAAGCTGAAAATTTATCAAAAGTCATACTTACAAAAACTTGCTTCAAAGTTTGGCATGTCTGATTCTAAACTAGTTAATATGCCATTAGCTAGTCATTTTATTGTAAGTAAACTACAATGCCCTAAAACTGATACTAAAATAGAGAATATAACTTATTCTAATGCAATAGGCTCAGTCATGCATGCCGAGATTAGTACTAAACCAAACTTATCATTTGCAATTTCTTTTTTGAGTAGATTCATGTCTAATCCTGGAATTGAGCATTGGATTGCATTGAAATGGTTATTAAGGTATATTAATAGCTCCCTACATATTGGTGTGGATTATTGTAAAAGAGGTGATGCATTTAATCTTGTGGGTTTTGTAGACTCTAATTTTGCAGGAGACAAGGATACAAGGAAGTCCACCACATCCTACTTTTTTACATTGGGAGGAAATTGTGTTAGTTGGAAGTCTCAACTTCAACCACTGTGACACTATCTAAAACAGAGGCAGAATATGTGGCCATGACTGATGCCTTCAAAGAAGCAGTGTGGCTTCAAGGGATTTTGAGAGAAGCCAAATTAGTAGATAGTTTGGTAATAGGGTACTCTGATAGTCAAAGTGCCATACACTTGAGCAAGAATCCAGTTTATCATGAGAGAATCGAACATGTTGATGTCAAGTTTCACTTTGTGAGAGACTTGATTACTAAAGGAGGGATTGGTCTTAAGAAGGTATCAACAGAAGATAATCCTACAGGTATGAGCACTAAAGTGGTCACTGCTACTAAGTTCAAACAATGCTTGAATTTGTTGTTTATTAGATAGCAGTAGTGAAGGAGCTGAGAAGCAATTGATGGATGGTTTTCTGCACTAATGGGAGCTTTGTGTTACTGCTGGTAGTTCTAGCTTCAAGGTGGAGATTGTTAAAAAGTGAAACCAGAAACGATGCCATGTGAGTTATTTATGCACTATCGTTTGGCTAGTTCCTCACTTGGTTAATCCTAATTGTTGCTTCTTGATTGGATCCAATGACTATCATGAAGCCACCTGCCTAGTGATATAAAAGCACACTAAACTTCAATTTTTAGTAAGATTGCAAAAGGGGAAAAACTCTCTCATTCTCATCTGCTCTGCTCGGGTTAGGGTTTTCGCTTTCTTGTTCAATCATTGTAATTTCTTGGGTGATTGTCTTGATCATTCTTTGAGGGTTGGGTTTTCTCTTAGAGTTAGATATTCCAAGTTGAGTTTCTCTTGGGTAGAAATTAGTTGATACGAAGTGATTCAGAGAGTGTTTAAGTGTGAGAAGAAAGAGAGTTTTATGTGCTTTGTGTAATCTGTAATTCTTTGACAAATTAGTGCAGAAAGCGGAGAGCCCCTAAATTGTGGAGCTCAACATGGATGTAGTCTATCATTTCTTGGATAAGTGAACTACGGTAAAATTCATTCGGCTGTTCTGTTACTGTTAGATTGCTTGTGTGTGCGTGTGTTCTTGGTTGGTTTGATTAGTAGAATTAGTTTGGTAATAGGTCACAGATCATAACACTTTCCATCTCATCTCTTCATCTTCTCCGCCTCTTCTCTTTCTTTCTTCTCTTTCTTCTCCCTTTCTCTTTTCTCTTTCCTTCTATTTCTCTCTCGCCCTCTCCCTCTCCCTCTCCATCTCTTCCTCCTCCCATCTTCTTCTTCTTAATCTCCATCTCCCTCTCTTCCCATCTTCATCTTCCTATCCGGCCAAATGGCATCCGACCAGTGCGATTCTGGTCAAAACACACTTGGCTAGGTTCGATTCGACTAGAATAGCATCAAATCGGATGTGATTCTACTCGGTCGGATGCGATTTCGACTGAATCGCATCCACTCGGTACGCTCTCATCATTTTAGCTTATCGTCACTACGCTAATTCTTATTTTTATTATGAACCAAGTATTAACGTGTTAGAAGTTGATGAAAGATCTTTGTTCTTATGATTTGGTTTATTGTTTTTTGTTGTGTTCGTGATTTTTTAGAAATAGGTGTTGGTTTTAGATATGTTGAGAGGTTATTTTGATCTTGTCTACTTTGAAATTTTTAGGTATATTTGTTTTGGGTGTTTTAAGGCGTTGAAGAATCTAGTTTTGGGTAAAAATAATTTTCAATGTGGATGATGGAGGTTTTGCGTTCAAACAAAGCTCCATATTATGAAGACAAATTGGAGGTGTGTTTTTTGAAACTGCTTACTACAGATTTATACAATTTCATGGAAAATGGTTAAATATAACTGTTAGCTCTCGATTGACTTGTTTAAAGGATGAGTGTTTTGTTCTGATATAACTTTTTTCTGAGATGTATACATGTCTACTGTTAGTTGTTAAATTTGGATTCTTTGCCTCGAAAAATTCATACTTTACGTCTTTAGTCTTCAGCAATTCAAATACTTGTTCCGTTCCATACTAACAAAAAAAAAGGAGAGAAGCACTCTGCCAAACACATGGCAAAGAGAAATTTCAGGAGAGTTTTGTAGAAGATGAAGCATTATTTATTGTAGTGGATTCTGGAATTTTAATTAACATTAATTGTAATTTTGGTTACATAGAAAATTATCATCCTATCCTTTTTCAAACTGATATTACTAACAGCTTCTGAAGGAAAGTGGGTAGTTGTTGTTTTTAAACTTTTTAGGTAGTATATGTCGTTAGGACAAAGTTTGGGTGGGAGGATGTCATTCGGCCCAAAGTTTAAAAGGTCCAAATTGCTATTATGAAAAAAAAAAAAATATCAATATTACCTTACCATCTGATAAGGTTAATCGAAAAGAGTAATGGGATGAGGGTCTCATTTCTAAAACCAACGGACTCGTTACAAAAAGGTCAAATACACAAGCGTTTACTATAAAAATCCCTTTATATGATTTTATTCATTAATCTTTTATTATTTGATATGCAATATTTTTATATATAAACTGCGTAGTAATAATTAGAAATGTGTTAAGAAAAAACTTAATAATAAATTAACTCATGTGATCATGAGCAGCAGAGCAGTAAATAAACCGAAACAAACTTCTTGTAGTAGTAAGATTGATTTGTAATGATTTGACATATGACAGAAATATAGATTAGGCAGCAGATATTGTATGGGCAAAGTGGTTTAATTTCAAAAGAATGAAATTGATGATTTTGTTTTTTTCTAAATGGAAAGAATCAAATAAAGAATCTTTCCTAGATATTTATCTTCCTAGATATTTCACTGCCAACTTATTTCTAATGCCATGTCAACCCAAGTGAAAGATTGTTTTGTAAAAGAACAGAGACAAATTACAGAAGCAATTCAACCACGTGTCCTCTTTGTTTATCTTTCGGTTATAAATGAACTGAAACTAAAACGTGCAACTGCTTGTTCGTAAAATTTTTATCCATATACTTAGATCACTTAAAAATCTAATATATTATTGATGTCTGATTTTAACAATAACAATTTTATACATATAAAATGCTATAAAATTATACGTAAAATAATTATAAGAGTTGATTAAAGTGCAGTGATGATATACGATTTGAAGAAAAATAAATAAAAGATTGATAATAGAGATTTTTATAATGGTTCGGATGCAATGATCAAATCCTTCATTCACTGTTATTTTATTATTCTCTGATTATTCTTCTAATATCGCCTGTAAGACGTACAAAGATAGAATATGCTTTGTTTACAGAAAAAAATAATAGTTGAAGCTCGAATATATGCCCAATCTCCTCTTCCATGAAGAGAGTTGCTTATTTATATATTTGAGTTCAATGTAATAAATGTTTTTGCAAGTTGTCTTGACACGTGGAAACTCCTCCTTATTCCTGATTTTAAAATGGGATAAGATTGATATAAATACTCTTAATAAAAACTAGGTCGGTTTGGTTTTGACAACTAATGTTATTTTATCTTTAAGTACTTGTTTAACTCTAATCGGTGGTATTTACATCAATGTATTTTTGGCATAACATATATAATTCTTGATTATATACAAATGACGTTCAAATATAGATGTAAATCTTGAAAGATGCATACATATGAAGTTTCTTTTCATGCATGGAATATAGAATTGATAAAAATGGATTTAGCATTTGGGAAAACAAAATGGACGATAGCTAGTTAGTTTTACTTCTTTTTGCGTTGATCATTTTCATTTATTTGCTTTATTTGGATGGTGTGATGCTTTTAGAAACTTGGCCTATCCACACTTTTTGAAGTTACCGTGGGGGCCTGTAAGGTTCTTTTTGGCACTAACCTCCAATATAGACCAGGTGATGTTTTCATTCTGATCTCAAGGTACTAAATCATTATCCTTCTGCAGAAAATTGAAACTCTTTTTTTTTGGTCCCGGAAAATAATGATTTAAAAAAAGAAGCATTCTCTTCAACATAACATTTACTGACAAAGTCTAGAGATCAAAGATGAAAATGGAAAACGGTAGGTCACACTTGGTAGGCGGAAACAGCTGATTTGGAAAACCTACGCTGTTTGTAGTCTCGGTTGTCAAATCATCAAAGAAAATACCAAAAGTAACAAAAGCTAAACACCAAAACTCTGGTCAATAAACACGCAAAGAAAGTGCAAAACAATAGAATTAAAAATGATAAATAAGAGAAGCCACATTCATATGCTTAAATACATGCAAATAAGAATGAAATTTGAGATAGAGAGAGCGAAAGGGGATTCAATTACAGGAAATTCCATTAACTAAAACCCCAGCTTCTTTTTCTCCATTTTATTTCTAGAAAACCAAACTACAAAGTAACACACTGAAACCATAAAATGATACATATAGAATTACAAAGTAGGAGATTAATTGATAACTTCAAAAGCTGCTATTTTGGGATAGGTTACATATGTATCCACTCAGAGATGTGGCATGCATAGTACTTATTTACCCAGGCTTTTATTCTTGATGACCCATTAAACACTAAATATATATCTAATAATACACCACTGCCTTCTCACTTTAACATGTTATATATGTTTTTTCTTCTGGAGTAGTTACTTAATTTTTTTTTTGGTTTCATTTCATTATTCATCAGCGTCTTCTTGCAGCTGTTTCCCTTTGTGCATTGAAGAACACAGCTGACACTGGCAGACCAAGGTCATTGTCTTCTGCAAACTTTCTTGTGTTAAAGCCATCCCTTGACGATGGTACGCTTATCACTGTTTGCCTGCGTTTCTGCTTGAAGAGAAGGAAAACAAACCTGTGAATCCCAATGTTTGGCCTCGGCATTTCATAGTTCACCAATTCCCTTCCTGTGATGTAAAACACACACACACACACACGTGTATATATATATATATATATATTAACCTTTGCTATATCAATAATTATTACTCCTTTAAATATCTCTCTGTGGATTATTAAACTACTTACCAAACGTGACATCGGTTGTGCCAGGAATGTCTGTCACCACCCTGTAAGAATAATCAATTAAAGTTGAGAGATTTTACATTGCTACAATCATTTGTATTATATACAACTTTTCTTCCCAATTTGCAAGAAAATACGCTTCACAAAAGAATCCGTCTTGAAATAAATTATACGGACGATGCATACTCAGCTATAACTCTTGAAGCATTTCCAAAATTAGGTCATGATTGGTCGACTAATTTAAGCAAAGTTTATATATGCATGCGTCATGAATAGTTGAGTCGTTTTCCGGGGAAATAGGGGAATTGAAAAAAAAATCATTCTTATAATTAATTTCCTGTTATTAGTTAGTACGTAATTTTTTTTTGAGGTGGGATTGGAGAGTTAGAGATTATACCAGTGTAAATGCTCCCTCAAGTATGGGTCACTTGGACCAGGAACATCAGGGTCTGTCATGATCTATTTATAGCAAAAAGAAGAAGAGTCTCTTCAATTTCATGAAGTAGATGATATAAATAAAGAAGAGAAAAAGAAGAATAAGTAAAGTTTACCAATGTGAAGAAAGATCTCATATCACCTCCATGAACCTCAACCTTAGGTTTCAGAGTTACTGAAGATGGAAACAGCTCATGGCCATTGTATACCTGCTTGGAAGAGTTGTAGGTAACTGCAATTTTAACAGTTTGATTAAAACAATCAACAACATCTCCAATCACTCTGCCAACTACAAGAGGATCTGATGACATTCTTGCTATTAGAGAGAGAATGATCTAGTGATGTATTTTTCTTTTTTCTACTTATCTGACATAGAAGTTGAAGCTCCATATTTATAGTGTTGAGAAGCTATCTAGATCCATAGAACCTCAAGGCAAAATGCTTGGTGTGGATTACCAAAATGTCCAAATTAACGAGGAATAGTAAGAAAATTAGATGGTGTCATCGTTTTAAAAGCTAAATTACAGGGCATATATAGCTAGCCTGTGAGAAATCATAGGGTTAAGAATTAGATTCTTATTCTTCCTACTACCTCTCACGTACTCTTAATCTAATCAATGCATTACCTTAATTAATTTTAAAACTCCCAAATTGCGACATAGATTTTGTATTATCAAATTAGTTCAAACAAAAACCACAAATGTTCAAAGTTCAAAGCCAATGGAATTCATCATCTTAAGCCACACTATACAACAAAAGTCATACCAAAAGTCAGATCAAATTAACAGTTAGACATTTATTTATTTGATTCTTGACACAAAAAGTTGTTGATTTCACCCTTATATAAGTTACAAACATATTATATCAATGACTCAATAATAATTGAATGGGGTAACATTCATCCGCCTGATTAAGATGATATATTAAAGAAGTGACCGAAGTTATTGGACCGAGTATATTGTGGGTCCTATATATCTCTGTAATTAAATTATGAAATTTAGATTTAAAATGGAAGGGAATTGACAATTTTGATGAAAGTGATCAGCTGAAAACATAAATTTTGGAGTAATTATTTTTGGGTTTTTAGTTGAAAGTCGATGAAATTCAATTAACATATATGCCATTTGCGTAAGAAATAAGGAGTATACATGGAATTTTATGTATGATAGATGAGCCATTAGTTAAGCATAATGATTTCCTTTATTCCTTACATTACATAAAAAAAGAATTGAGTGGACAGAAATAAATTAAAAACAAAAAACAAAAAGGTTTTATAAAGCTTTGGAAAATGCCATAAAGAAAAATTTTAATGAGACGTAATAGCTATTTCTCCATAGTCTCTTATGGATCGGTGAGTTTTTCTTCTCTCTTTTATGCATAATTATAGTTATCCCTTTAGATGTTTCAAGTATAAGCTATTTCAGTTTCTTTCATTTGATCAATCTGAGTGTTTTACTATTTGAAGAAACGATCTTTTCATATATATGTTGTATATCTATTTGAAGTAGTTATCCCTCCAGAAGTTTCAAAAAGAGATTTTGAAACTTTATAATATAATTAAAATCAAAGGTTGAGTCTTTTAATTTATTTATTTGATTTTAGTTTGCTCATCATTTGTGTGCCTTTTCCTTCCAGATTAAGTTTTGTACTTTTCCCCGAGGCTGAGCTTGAAAAGAACGAACCAGAACGGAGATGTCCATTAAAGTACTATTCATTTTTCTGCTCCTCAACAAAAGAAGGAAAGAATTTCAGCTGATCCTGTGAAGACAATCTCAAGCTGGGAAAGACTCGAGGCCTTTTTTATTAAAGGTAAAAAAAGAAGAAATTCCCATGTTGGGTGTTCTTAGAACCTTTCCAATTTAAAGATTAATTTAAAATATATTTTCTTTCCAAGAATTTAAGGCTATAAAGAGCTCCTCCACCAAAATGTGGCACAGGTAAAGATAGTGGTTAAGCGCATTTCCAGTAAAGAGATTCAGTTTGTGTCACTTCTTTAGTTGAATTAGTAATAATAGAAGTGGGTTTCCATATTTAGGCGTCCAAGGACTTTTAATTTTTTTCTTCTTATTCTTCTATGGAATCATATTTGATAATGTAAACTAAAGACTTCAACTCATTCAATTCCTTTTTCTTTAGCTAGCTAGCATCTTTTCCTTCTCTTGCTATTCCTTATTCCAGTTCAATTTCTACAATGAGGTTTCACATTGTTCTAAAGCCAATGCACATATATATACTAAGATTTTGCAGTCAAAAGGTGGACGTTAAATGAACCTATGGGGAAAATTTAGTAAATGTACTTGTCACTGTTGAAAACTTGTATTTTGTTCAAGCTTTCTCATGCAAACTTCTATATGTATGGTTTTCCTAAAGGGAATTGAGACTAAGCTTGCATAAGAAAGTAGGTTTATTATGACTATTTAGATTATATGTAAACTAATTTACTAATAACATTTTTATCAAACTGAGCTCTAATATGTTACCATAATAATCATTTTGGTGATGTTATAGTTGGATGCAATAATTCATAGGAGAGAGAGCTGGAGGATGGTATTGCCGTATCTTTAATACTAGTGTAGTCACACTATCGAACTTATTGTTTAATATTTCACAATTCATATTCCACTGTAAAGTTGATGAAACTAGTTAGATAAATTTTAAAAGTAAAGAATTCTGTCGGTGAAATAAACTGTATGTGTATGTGGTTCTTGATTGACAGAAAGAGGAAAATTGAAATAATTGCTAGTACTAGTGCCTGCAAACTGTGATGTGACTCTGGATAGAATAATATCTCAGAGCAGCCCATTTATAGCCAAAATTAAAATTTATTTGCCAAACATAGATGCATGTATAGGACCAAAATTTTTGCTTCTTTTTTATACAGTTGGTACTTTACAGCCACTAGTAAGGTGAGTTGGGATCCCTCTCCTGCCCGAGAATAATATATAGAACCATTTGAGGGTTTTGACACGTGATCAAAATTGAAGACACCAACCAAGCCAAGTGTTACGGCCTGCCCAAAATACTAAACTATTAGGTGGAGGGATTCTCTCATAAACTCAAGAACCTTGTTATTTCTCTTCTGATGTGGGATTCATGACATTCTCTCCCACCGGATCTTGTGACACCTCTATCATAGGTGAGACCTCTTTGCCTACTCGTCCATCTTGCTCTCGAGTGAACCCACAATCACATGTGGATGCTCTTTTACTTGGGTGTTTGATGGGACACTGAAAGACAGGATTGAGGTTAACTCTAATACCAGTTGTCATAAGCTGGAAGCTTCACCACCATAATTTGACCTAAAAACTTAGATTAATAAGCAAATAATTCATACCTTTGTAATTACTCTTGTTCATTCATATTTAATTAATGAAGAGTATCAAAAATCGAAGTGACCATATAAAATTGAAGACATATTTGAGAAAAGTTATTAGCTAGGTTCAGTCTTTTTATGTATTAGTTTTATACTATCGTCAACCCAATTAAATTATAACAGTTACATGATGAGAAAGGATGTAAATGTACAATGAAAATGGCAACAGTCGTTATTGATGCATGCACATAAACTACATATCAAGTCATTTTTGTATTAAAATATTATGGCAAATCTTGTTATAAATTATTCAGTTAATTGTGGGTAGCAACACTCTGAATTGAGGATATTCTGATGATGCTCTCTTGATCATATATATAAAAAATTATAACTAGGAAAAGTAGCTAATTTTCTTCCCATGATTCTCTCCTATGGCTTATTCATTTGTATTGTGGGTATTAGCTACGGTGTAACCTTTGTGGGGCTACTTAAGAATTGAAGTTTATTTTATATTAAGGGATGATAGATATGATTGACACAAAGCAAGAGATTTGAAATGATAATGCTAACAAAAAGATACGCATGTATAAACAGATAGTGCTAGCTTTTATTATATGGTTATATCTTAATTAATACTTCAATAACAAAATTATTAAACTAAAGAAGGTTTTACAATGATTGAAACGAAATGGTATCCATTGATAACATAAGATATGCGATAAAGCTGCAACACTTTGGGCCATCAATGATTAAAGGTCCTGGGATTTAGACTTTAGAGGTTACAAAAGAGTTAAATAAACTAACCTACGTAAACCTAATTATACGAAAGTATATATATAATGTGAATCGGTCTCTTCAAATGAATCAAATGTGCTTAAATTTTAGATGCAAAGATTAATTGTTTGTTTTTTTGAGAAAAAACTAAGATTTTTGCTCTTACATATAGAAACTCAATTTTGATAACTCTCAGTTGATTTGAATTTTTTTTTTTTTTTAATGAAATGTCTTAATATTAAGAAATAGTAAAATATATACACTTGATAACCATTTTATTTATATATAAATCCATGATATAATAAAGTATGTTACCATATTAATTTGTTGAATTGTATATGATCACAATTTGTTTGCATTTTACATTGTACCACATCTTGAATTAGTCTTTAATCAGATCATCATTTTATATAAATGAGTTTGTTAAGCTATGTTTCTAAAACATATTATCTTTATATTATAATATTGTCACATTTTACGTAAGCCATTCGATTTTGTTTCATATACAATATGCTTACTTTGAAACTTTTATAATGAGCCTTTTATCACTTTGTTTGAAGAATGATTATTAATGTTATGCTTATTAGGGTTGGGAAAAAAAAACTCAAAAACCGAATCGAAAAACTAAACCCAAACTGAAAACGAAAAAACGGTTTTTTTTTTTTTAAATCGGTTCAGGAAAATATGTGAATCGATTTTTGGTTCTCTTACCGGTTTCACCCCTCAAAAAAATCGGTTAACCAAAATCGGTTTTTTTAACTGATTTATAACAAAAGACCTAAAATAGTAAAATCCCTATAAAAAGTAAACCCCTTGGTCCCTAACATTCAACTAAGGGTGTGTGTTTGTGTGCCACCTTCAACTTTGAGTGAGAGACTAAGAGTGTTAGAGTGCTTACACTGAGAGTCACCGACTGTCGCGGATTGCCAAACAGCAGTTGCCGATTCGCCGACAAGTCGACAACACTGTCAGTGGCTCCTTGATTGATCACATATTCCTTGATTTTTGATTTTCAACCTCCATTATCTTCGCGTCTTGCTAACATTTTGGTAACCATTCATCATATTTTTTATTTTTGATTCTTCACCTGCTAGCTGCTGCTAGAGTTGGTGCCCTAGAACCAATCAATTATTGTAGAATTGACTCTTTGTTATAATGTTTATTAATCAATAAAAGGTTTTTTATTCTATATCGTGTAAATCATAATTGTGTGTATTGATATATGTCCTTAGGACGGTAGAATCATGACGAGGGTATCAA